CCGAAAATTGATATTTAGAGAAAAAAATTTAAAAATTATATCATATTTTATTATTAAATATTGTAGTAATGTAGTTGATTGAGGCCTGTTTGGATCAGCTCCTAGGAGTTTCAACTTTTGGATAATATTCATGTCTCGTGAATTTAAATTTTCCTCTTAAAAATTTATACTTTTAAATATTTTTTTAACCTCAAAAAGCTTTTAAACAGTAAAAATTTAAAAGTTTCAAATCCAAACTTTTCATAAACTTTTTTTTTAGTTACTTTTCACTTAATTTTTCATCTTTTTAAAAGTTAAAACTCTATTTTTCTTTCAATAAAAATTTAAATTTATCACTAATAACAGTACTCAAAAAGTAAAAACTCTCACAAGTAAGTCACATAAAAAAAGCTCTAATTTCCATGCAGCAAAAATCTTCTTTTTTTTTTTCAAATTTATTGGAGAATTAGCTGCTTAATAATTGCTTAATAGTGTAAAGATTTAAACAATTAACTTTAATCTCAAATTAAAAATTTTAAGTTAGTGGGTACTAATTCAATCAAATTCTTACCGGTAACAAAAACTTTGTACTATAATTAAAATTTTATGTTTTATTATTAAATATTATTTCCCTTTTTTCTTCGGGTATTTAATTTGTTGCTTCTGGTCCTTTTGCTATTTCCCAGTTTCCCCTCCCTCATGTTTTCTCATTTTTCTGTTATATGGAGAATTAATTTAATAAAGAATTATATCTATTGTGTTCACCAAAAAAATTTAAAAGGGCATTTATTTAATTTAATCAAGTTTCAATTTTCTCAATGAATTTTCTTTAAGAAATCCATTAAATATTTATTTTAGGGTTTAAACCAGGTTTTCAAAAACCTATTGGGTACTTATTCAAAATTTATTGAATATTTTTATAATTTTTATAATATAATAAAATTATATAAATAATTAATTTAATAAAAAATTATATGTATTATACTCATCAAGAATTTAAAAGAATATTATTTTAATTTAATTAAACTTCAAGTCCTTAATAAATTTTCTTTGAGAGATCCATTATATATTTTTTAAAGATTTTAAATAAATATTAAATTACCAATTGAGTATTTATTTTGAATGAGTAAAAGAAGT